ACTAGTTAAAACATCCCCCCCCCCCCCCTCCCCCTCCCTAGGAAAAAAATAATTCCTTAGTGTGAAATGGTGCAATCAATCTGGTGCATTTTGGTCACTGAAAATCTTCTTTCACATCTCATTAAATTTGTCTGTTTTACATGAATTTTGCATCAAAATTGACGGTACCAAAATTACAGAAATAAAATTGATTTTTTTTTTATGTATGTAATTAATGCTTATCTCTTTAAGACTTATGTATAGCTTTTGTATGCTTCAAGTATAATTAGTGGCTTCACATCAATTGTACATAGAATCATCAAATAAAAACCAAACTAGTAATTGACATTCAGAATGTTTTAATAAATCAAGGATGAATTATAAAATGAATAAATGTACTCATCCACACTATTATACTAAATTATATTTTCGATAGTTTATACATTGAACACCCTCGGGAATCTTGGAAACGATTCCCCTTCGGTTCCATAACCCGTGATAGCTCAGTTGGTAGAGCGGAGGACTGTAGTGGTCAACCTTATAGCTATCCTTAGGTCGCTGGTTCGACTCCGGCTCGCGGGAGTTTTTTATTTTTATTTTTCAAATATGTTTATATTGTAGATAGACTTAAGCCTTGAACAACTTCAACAGGATACTCTAAAACGTTCATATACTGAACATTATGTAGAGGCGTCAGAAAGATCGGTTAAAAACATTTTATTTTTTTAGAACTACACGATAAAAACAACATGTACGCTTAGAATTTGTGAGAGAGGAGATATTTGCCTTCAGTGTTGAGAGATCTGCAATGTTGGCGATGCAGATTCGGAGGCTGTTTCAGGTACGAATTGCTCTAGGAAAGAATGAATTTGCATGATAATTTGTGGAGCTGTGTGGAATCTGGAATTTGTGTTGTCGGGTTCGCTGGAGAATTTGGAGGTTGCCATCATATACCACAAGGCCGTTTATGATTTTATATAGTAACATGGTGGAGGTCATTTTACGGCGTTGTTCATTATAGATGTCGGCGTGAGTCGTGATGCTTCTGGTAAGGATGTGTTCCATCAATTTACTGAGGATGCAGGTTAGCGAGATTGGACGGTAATTTTGCGGTTGGTTTTTTGGTCCCTTTTTACGCTGTTACCTTATCGTGTAATTCGATTTGCAAAAGTTTCTGGATTGAGATTTTATGATGTTTTATCTGTATTGGGTGTTTTTCAACCTACCAAACCACAAAAGAGCAGAGTCTCCATAGCCTCCAGTCTTCTTTCGTCGTATGTGTTTTGTAAGTCCCGTATTCAAGCAAGATATTATATCAAATCAAATTTATTAATGCTTTTTTTCGTAGTTTAATAATGCTCTATCAATTCTGTTATTTTGTGTTTATCAATGCAATGATACATTGTAACAAATATGTACGTAAAGTTTCATTGAAGCAAAAAAAAATTATTTTATGTTAATATCCTTCAGCAATTACCCTGCATCAGGATCCTACCTGTATACACATTTTAATACAACAAAATTAAATTTCAAATAAATAATGTAGTTGAGATTTTTTCATTTTACATTAACGTGTTGATGAGGGTTTTTTCTTTTTATATTGATGAGTTTTCTCTTTTTATATTAACATGTTGATGAGTTGTTTTTCTTTTTATATTAACATGTTGATGAGTTGTTTTTCTTTTTATATTAATGTGACGTTGATTTTTTTTTATATTACATATTTTTTATATACAGTATATATTACCTGATATGGTTAGAAAGCTTTAATATGTAATCAAAGTTGGTCTGTATCGAGTGATTAAATGAAGAAATAAAACGACAGCACAAAACATAATATTTCTATAATGTACGTGGGCATCATACAGGGAACAGCTGTGTTTCTACTGAAATGTATTACCCAACCATATTTCTGGAATTATTGCTGTATGTCGTTGCCTTTATTTTTGCCTTACAACCTCTGATCATGGCTTCGTATATTTCTTTCCAACACTATTTGTCAAATACCATGTCTTGGTTAAGTTCTATGTTTTTAAATGTGTCAAATAAAAATTTGAAAAATTTGAAAAAAAAATAATGTTAGTGTTAGGAAGAATATAGAAAAGCAAATTTACCAACAAAAACTGAGGAAAAGTCAAACGGAATAATTTCATAATAATTTCATGGACTCAAACAGATATCGAAGGCTGAACA